ATTTTAATTAGTTAATTAATTAATTTAAAATCAATACTTACCCTTTTATATAAATTAATTGAAAAAAATATACTAATTACATTTCTTAACTTCTATTTTAAGGACACTAATTAGAAAAACTCATTTAAAAATGTACATTATAATTAATATTTTTAAAAATTAATTGTTGATTAAAACTTCTATTTATTTACATTATAAGAAATCTAATATTATTAATTCTTTTATTAAATAAACTCTATTTAAAGATATATATATATAGCAATATAAAATTTAATATAATTAATAAATTGGTTAGATTTATTAGATTAATTTAAAAATTAACATATATAATTTATATGAATATAACTTTCAATCAATTTAAAAATATTAATTAAAAAAATTTAACAAGTTCTCCAAAAAAATTTAAAAGAACAACTTGTAAAATATTCTCTCTTTATTATATATTGGCGTCTTTACTTAGTTATGACACTATTTATTTTTTGTAAATACATTAAGGTTTTTTTTTTGTTTAAATTTTACTTCTATTAAATGGTTTAATTAATTTTTTATTTACAAAACGAAGGAATAAAAATAAATTTTAAAGGGCTAATAATTGTGTATTTCTAATTTTTGTTGATTTTTTACTCTTGAGGGGTGTTGAAAGTAATTAAGAACTTAAAACTTTAATTTAAAGATTTCAAATTCAATTTTTAAAGTGAGTAGGGAAGAGAGAGAGGAATTGAACAGGAGAGTTGTTGCTTACTATATAACTTATTATCTAATATAAAAAATATTAATTTTGTATTTCAAGTTTGAAGGCCTCTTTTTTTTCTTTTCTTTTTTTTGAACAACAAAGAAGATATTTATTATCAACCTAAGTACAAGGGGTACTCAACCCATTAACTCACACAAAATAACAACCATCCAATGTTAATTCCCTCTTTTAGACCACTTTTCCTCTATCAATTAATCCCACCCTTGTTAATAGACATACATGCTGTAGGATTGATTAACCAATTTGAAAGAGTAAAGTAACACCTAGCTTCTTCTTTTTTTGCTTTGATCCATGCAAATGATCTCAGTTGAATAAGTTCTAGCAGCTTACCCATATTCGCTTCTATGTCCTGGAAGATCTTGCGGTTTCTTGTAATCCATACTGACCATATCACAGTATTCCAGATGCAATCCCATCCTTCTACTGTGTGTGAGTCTTTGGTCCATGCCCCAAATTGCTCAAAAGTCTTCCAACAATCTTTATTTATTGTTATTGTGATACCCCACCACCTGGCGCATGCCTTCCATAGCCATCTACTTATTTTGCAATTTAGAAATAGATGGTTGGCATCCTCATCCTCTTCCTTGCATAATACACATTTCACTTCTCCCTTATCCTTGATGATTCCTCTTCTGAGTAAGTTAGCTTTGGTAGGAATTTTGTCTAGCATTAATCTCTAGTTGAACGCAGATATCTTGTTCGAGAGCATAGGATTCCATATTCTCTTTAAAATTTTTACTCCCTTCGATCCCATCCGTTCTTTTGTCAACCGTGAGTAAGCCATTTTAGTTGAGTAGTGGCCATCCTTGCTGTGTATCCATTACTGTTTGTCTGGACAGCTAGGAGTGATCTTCACATTGTCTAGCATCCCATGGAGTTCCGTAACAACCTCTTTTTCCCACTCAAACAGGGTTCTTCTCCATGAAAGATTCCATTTCCATGTTCCATTGTGAGCATTGCCCATTTGGTAGCATTCTTTGTTCTTCCTTGTTGACAAAAGATATAATCTAGGGAATGTGTTAGCAAGACATCCCTCCCGATGCCACTTATCCCACCAAAAGCTCACTCCTTTACCTTCTCCTATCTTTATCCTAAATCCTTCTAGTAACCACCCTACATTTTCCCCGTCTCTAATATTGAGGCTACATGCGTCTCTCCACCATAATGATCTTGTTCCTTTACCATCTCTTACCCAATCCATCCAATGACCTATGCCCTCACTATATTTTCCTTCAATTACCCTCCTCCACAACCCCTTATCCATGGATGCTAGGCGTCCCCACCATTTCCCCATCAATGCTAGATTGAATTTCCTCAAGTCCCTCACCCCGAGCCCTTCCCACTCTTTTTTTTTTTTACAAACCATCTCCTAG